AAAAAAAAAAAAAAAGCTAAAATATGTGGTTTAAAGATGCATGATGTGATTAAAGTTAATTATTAACTTTAATTTAAATTCCTACCAAACATGAACTTAATATGGACGATAATGTCAACAAATTTGTGCGATTGTGTAGATCTTTACGCCCAAATGCTTATTTATTATAATATGAAAATAAGAATTCCATACAAACTTACAAAATAATCTCTCTCTCGTTCTCGTTAAATTAATTTAGCCGGCAGCATTCTCTCTACAGTTACTTGAATTATTAACAATTTATTCTGTTACCTTTACTAAAAAATACAAAAAAAGTTTAGGTGCAACATTTTTATGGATGAAAAATAAGAAACAAACGGGGGCTTCAACAAATTGAACCACTTTTTTTATGAATGCCTCTCTAGGGATACCATATTTCTTGATATGCACGGGAGAGCCAACGAAGGTCAAGGAGGTCATACTCTTGGTAACGCTAGTCCTAGCCCGTACTGACAAGTGAGTCAGGGTCTTGGTTCCCTTGTGATATTTGTGTTAATCCGTGACGCGATCAAATGAAAGGTGACCTACTTGATAGTTAAAAAATGTCGATTATGGAGTTTTTTTAAAAGTAGTGATTTGGACGTTATGATACTCCAATTTAAAGTAACGATTTTTGAATTTTTGAAAAATGTGTTTTGAAAAAAATAGAGGTCAAACACGCGCGATATAATAGTAGATAAAAATCATTCAAAGTCTCACACCATCCAAATTGGGTGCCAAACATATTGAATAATGCTAGAGTTACATCAATTTTGATAGTCATCTCACATGCATTTGGTGGGGTCCACGATTAAAATAATCGTGGGCCCACCCATGAGAGATGACTGTCAAAATTGCTGTACAATTTTGACTGTACTTTAAGCATTTTTGCAAACATATTAGTCTACTTGATGTTCAATAACTCATTGAGTCAACCTATGTGAAGGAAGCTAATCGGAGCCGACTGGGAGCCGTAAGTCGACAGATGCTAACCTTCTAGAAGCAAGCCAACAAATAAATCCCATGTGCCATGTCAGCACATATCTATGGCCCGACCCGACCCGGCTAGACCCATTTTGTGTACTTTCCCCATCCTCTGACCTTCATATAAACCCTCCCTTTCTTCACTCGCAGAAAATCATTCATTCCAATTTCCCTCAAAAAAATTATAAATCTTCAATGCTGGCAACAACAGTTTTTCCTTCTAAATCCTCAGTAGGCTTACGATCACACCACCGCCACATGTCTATACGCTCCGCTGTGGCGCAGAACGCGCCGCTATCCGCGGTGGCAGTGGACAGAGGAAGTCTCTACGAGGTTCTGCGGGTCAAGCACAACGCATCTCAAACAGAAATCAAGACGGCGTACCGAACGCTTGCCAAGATATACCACCCCGATGCCAGATCGCGTTTCATGAATTCCTCGATTTCTTCTTCATCATCATCGGACGGTCAAAGTTTCATCGAGATCCACGACGCCTATAGTACGTTGTCGGATCCTGAGGCCCGGGCGGTGTATGACTTGAAATTGAGCATCGGATCGCAACGGTGGAGACCGCCATATTCGAGTGTTTATGGATTACGGAGTTCGGGTCGGGCGAGATTTAACCCGACTCGAAGGTGGGAAACGGATCAGTGTTGGTGATTCTGCCATATGTATGCTTGTTATTGATTATGCATTATGTGGTAAATTAGTAGAGGAAAAATCTAAAATCCTATGTAAATTCTTCTTCTTCCTTTTTGTTTTCCTTCCATTTTTCCATTCAAGGAAACGAATATAGATTAGCCCCTTTTTCTCTCTCTTCTTTTCTGGTGTTTTAAATAAAATTATTATGTGCAATTAAAGTGAAGGGAAACAGGGAAAGATTGGTTGGTTTTGATTTTTGCTTATCTACGCAATTGACAACTTGTTCTTTGACGCACCAAAATGCTATTGGACAGTCATATTTCGTGACACTTTGGTTTCAATTTATTAAAATTAAGACATCTTCACGTTCTTGTGGATCCTACAACTACTTGTTTCTCTTTCTTATCTTGTGATTTGAATGATACAGAGTTCGAGTGTCACCATCGTAGAAATTGGTGAATTAGAGACTTACTTCTGTCACCTTGAATCAGTTTCCCTCTGAATAATCTTACAATCCTAATTGGTTTTCTTGAACCAATTTTTTTTTTCAAAGCTCTTCTGACCAAACAAAATGCTTTCAAAAAATTACTCAAATAAATGAAGAAACAACTTCTTAATTTTGGAAGTAAATTTTTACTTTCTAAAAGTCCTACCAACGACATCTTAGAATAGCTTTTCAAGTGTCCGAAAAGGCCTTAATTCAACCTTAGTTGAGTGCAATCACATGGGATTCTTGAAAAACAAGTTCATAAATGACACCTAAGTTAGTTTTGGTCGATAGTTGAGTAAACGATAAAATGAAAAGCTCGATTAGTGGATTTGATTTATTAAAATTAAGACATCTTGACGTTCTGGTGGATCCTACACCCACTTTTTTCTCTTTCTTTTCTTGTGATCTGAGTTATATAGGGTTAGAGTGTCACGGTCGTAGAAATTGGTGAATTTCAATTGCAATTTTTAAGAAAAGTCCAATGAATTCTACGATTTATAACACTCAGATTAAGCTCGTTTGAAACTATATATATATATTTTTTAAATCACTTCTCTCATATTCAACCACATTATCAAAAAATAAAATAAAAATCATCTTTCACATTTCCTCTAATTCAACATACTTTTAAAGATGCACTATCCAACAAGTACGAATGGCAACAGAACAGGCCGGGGAGGGTCGAGGCAACCTCCCTCGCTCCCTGCCCTGTACTCGCCCAGTTACCCGTTTAAGGTAGGACGGGGCTCTTATCGCGTTTATTACTCGGTTACATTTTTTTAAAATAGTAATTCAGTTTTTGATAATTCATTTTATTGCCTCATTCATTAAAGTAAGACAATAATATATTTATATTTTAAGAGTTAAATTATTTAAATATATTTGATAAACTAAGGATTTTATTATTTTTCAGTTTCCTTAAATAATTTTAGTTGTCATCTTCTATTAGAAATAATGGAGTTTCGTGGAATTTTTCATTTAAAGTATTGAATTCTTAAAAAAAAATCAAAGATTAAATGGGGCGGGGCTTTCTCGGGGCAAAATTCCCTGCCCCGTTCCTAACCAAAATACCCGATTAAGTGGGTAATCCCCATCCCGTTCGGGAAGGGGTCCCACGAGTATCACGTTTGACCGATTTTTAAGTTATCCCTACCAACAAGTTATGTTTTACAACATCATTTATCAACAAATTAACTTCACACAAGTACTCAACAATGTTTGACAACATTAAAATTGCACATTGCAATATTAAATAAGAAAAATAAATTAAATTTTAAATCTCAAGATAGACTTAGAGGTTTGTTGGACATAACTTTTAAAAGGTTAAAAATTGCTTTTGTGATTAATAATTTGTTTATTCCTGAAAAATATCTTTAATTTCTCTCCATAGATTATGTTTGACTGTATGTAAAAGCAAGTCAAATTTGCCTTATAATTAATTAATTAATTCACCAAACATACTTTAAATAATTTAGTGTATGAACGAAATATGATGGAAACCAAAAGGATCCTTTGCTTTAGTTGTTGTTTTGGTTGAATCCAAAGGATAGGTACATCCACTAAATTTGGCCTCCTCATAGTGTCTCTATTCTAACATATTCCATCCTTCATCACATGTTAAAAAAAATAAAAAATTTAAAGGTTCTTTCGACTAGACAGGCACTTCTAGAAAACTATTTAAACACGTTCATTGATATTTTTTTAGTTTTGGAAACCGTCTTTGATTTTTTAAAAATGCCTTGCCATATGGTTCTAAGAAAGTTGTGGAAAAGTAAAAATAAGAAGAATGTAGGCAGGTAGGGAATGAGCAATAAATAAGGAATATTGCATATAATTCAACATAGAGGTGAACAAAATGATCAAACCAGAACCAAACCAAACGAGCGATTTGATTCGGTTCGGTTCTACAAAAAAAAATTAATCATCCCGATTTTTAGAACTGAGTGCCATTTGATTATAGTTTTGGTTCAGTTCGGTTCTAATTCTAGAACCAAGAAACAAACTCAATATTTAAATTTTATTATTTTATATATATTTACAAATTAGTGAATCATAATTCACATAAAAAAAATTCAAAATTCAATTGAAAATCGGAACAAAAGGTCATGTACCTTCACTTTCTCATTTTCCAATGTAGAGGCTAGAGACCATAATTCATTTTGGAGACCCCAACCCTAATTCATTTCTTATTTTTTCTCATTTTCAATTTATAAACCGACTCTCAAATGAATATCAACAACTACCAGCTACCGTCACATGGATTTCTGAAATTGAAGCCTCAGACGCTCAGTAATGAAATCAGAATCAAACCAAGCCAAACCCGAACCGAATGATTCGGTTCTAGTTTGGTTTCATATTTAAAAATAAATAAAATCATTGGTTTATAGTTCGATTCGATTTTCTTGGAACTGGACCAAATGGAACCACGTCGACCCCTAAGTTGCACTACTCTCCATTATCAGCTCCACAATTTCAAATTCTAGTATATTTCTCTTCTTTGTTATCATGTCTCTTAATAACTTTGCATAGCTTGGAAACTGTCCTGTAGCATCGACAAAAAGTCTGTTAATATGGAGCTTCTTTAGCACACCAGGAACTTGTCGAATTATTTGCCTAATTCATATTTCTTCAACTTTTGCAAGAATTAGACATGATGTACATATTCTTTGTCCGAAGGGATCACCTTAGCCTTCTTACTGTATTAAACTCATGTTAAGTGAAAAATGGAAATTTATTTATTTTGCATTTAGCAACCAAATGGCTGAAAAAAAGAACAAAAAATTCGTATCTTGCTCACGAGCCCGTTTGGTTGGACTTTTGACCAAGCCTTCAGTGCCCGCCCGGCCACTATCTTTAATCCTAAGTAAAGATAATTTCTTCCAGACAATTGTAATGGATTTCTTCCAGACAATTTTGTTGCGGGAGTTGATGAGTTCATTTAATTTGCCTTTTCACAACCAGAAGTAGGAGATAAAATTAGGTGCCCATGTGCCAAATGTCGTAACATTAAGTTTATGGATGGTGAGATAATAAAATTACATCTTTACATAAATGGATTTACAAAGGATTATACAAACAACATTCGTATGGTATAGTTCTCTGAGAGGCTTTCATTTCTGCTTTATTGTGGTTTACTCATAACATCAGCATTCTTCAACAAAATATACAGATCGTTCTCTTTAACAATGCTGAAAAAGTCATAAGCAAGGAGTTCATGACATGCATGATGAGCCGAACGGATCGGTTGGGTTTATGGCAGAGACAACCTCCCTCATCCATGTTAGTTTCTGAGGTGCAGTTTTTAGCGTGAGGACTCTGATTCTTCAAAAGTTGCGACGTAAAGCGAAACAAGGAATTCAAGTGAAAACCTTGAGAACACAAATCTTAAATCCACTAGAGAATATAAAAAATAAAAATTAAGAAGTTTCATTAATTTCAAGATGCCTGAATATAGAGAATTAACTCTTTATTTATAAGGGTTTAAACGAAAAGCTAGTCTAAAGGAATTAAAATTGTAAAAAATTCGAAACAAACTAAATTACAAAAATAGCACTAAAACTTAAAAAACAATTTTTGAGTCATAAATGAACTCAAATGGCTAAAATCCACCATACATGGGGAAAAATGGTGAGTTCAGTCCGTATCGTGGTTCTGTTTCTGAAAAGGTATTATGGGACAAATCTAAGCTCGAATGGCAAATTTGCAATTTACTATTTTTCCCTTTTCGGTCAAACTGTTCTTCAATCAACTCGATCACATCAAATAGTCATATCCTTGGTCAATTCTATCCCATCGACCTTGATAGGAATTAGTAATTTTAGTACGAGGGGCTTAAGTAGAGGCTCATACTTAGCCTCCATGTCTCGATTTACTCCACTATCTCAAGTTGATAGTGCAAAAATAAGGGAACAAAGATTAGGAGGTTAAGTAGCACGGGGGCTTAAGCAGAGGCATCCTATAACTTAATCTAGTCAAAATCAAACAGGAATACACCACAGTTATCAACTTACAACTTCACCTGGAAAAAATAACGTGCTCTGCTGTTAACTTTGTATGATTGGAAAGAAGATGTAATCACTCATAATTTAGTAAAGTTCTAACTTATTTTCTAAACTTACACAACTGGGTTGTCTGCCTAGACTCCCTTGACACCGACTGCTTACCTACCTGGTAGACTGACTCATATCTTACCTGCTCAATTTACACCCAAGATACGAAATTTCAATTCTTAATCTTCATCTTTATGGCTCTTGAGTGATAAAGACCTATAGCTGATATTAAGTCCTGGCTTGAGAAACGGTAATAAGTGGGTTCCAAGGACACACAATAATTTGGTGTTAGGAGATTCTTATGTTTGTGGTGTTTTAGGTCTCTATTGCCTGATCATCTTGTCGTATACATTGATCAGAGAAACGGTAATACGGGGGTTCCAAGGACACACAATAATTTGGGGGTAGGAGATTCTTATGTTTGTGGTGGTTTAGGGCTCTATTGCCTGAGCATCTTGTCGTATACATTGATCTGAAGA